AATTAAAGGAAAGGTCTGAAAAATGAAAAGTAAGGTGAATGGTCACATGACTGGTCATGTGACTTGGAAAAAGTAAAAGTAAAGTACAAACAGTGAAGTGTGAGTAGGTACTGGTACGTCAATTGTAACATCCATAGGACTAGGGATTCTAATTTTCCACGCTTCAAGCGTGCATCCACCACCCGTTTGACTTTGAATTCTTCTTCACCTTCCTGGGTGACTACAACCGGTCCGGGCTGGTCTACGCGCTGTCCCGGCAGTGGACCTTTATAGGGTTTCACATGGCTAATATTGACCGTGGGTACTACCCGCATTCATTTTGGGAGTTCCAGCTCCACTGCAGTGGGTTTGACTTCCTTAATCCAGTAAGGGCCAATCCACTTTTTGGTCAGATTTCTAGACTGCCAATCTTTTAGTTTTAAGTGGTCGGTATCTAACCAGACCAGGTTGCAGACCTTGTAGTCAGGGGCTTTTGAGCGTCTACACTCTGCCCTGTCTTTCATCTGCTCTGCAGTTTTGAACATTTTGTCCAAGACAGACTTCATGTCCTTAGCCATGTTCCCTACAGCCTTGTTCTTGCTTTTACCAGGCTCTACACCCATTCTGGGAAGGTACAATCTCGTTACCTCAAATGGTGCTTTGCCTGTAGCTGACGACTATTTGATATTGTAAGAGAACTGGGCTATCTTTAGCCACTTGGCCCAATCTGTCTGTCTATCATTAATAAATATACGGAGACATTGCTTCAATTCCTGATTGTCTATTGGTCTGCAGATGGAACACCATGGATAATTTAGGTTTGATGCCCAGCATTGAGCAAATTGTTTTTGTAAATTTGCTAGCAAATTGGGGTCCCCTATCAGAGATAACCGTTTCGGGTAGTCCATGGGTAGACCATACAAAGTCTTTAAATAGGTCTGCCGTACCAGCAGCGGTAATAGTTTTATTGGTGGGAATGAATACCACTTCTTTGGAGAAGCGATCTACTACCACCATTACTGAATCATACTCATTTGATTTGGGTAGATTCATTGTGAAATCAACTGATATGTCCTGCCAGGGACCAGCTGGTATCGGATTTGGCATGAGTTTACCCGCCAGCGGTTGATGTGAGTTCTTTGCCATGGCACATCTCAGACAGGATCTTATGTATTCCTGTACATCTTTGACCATGTCAGGCCACATGTAATTTCTGGAGATCAACTCCATCGTTTGTTGCCACCCAGGGTGCCCAGCCACTGGAGTGTCTTGATGTCTATCTATTGCCTTGATCCTTGCGGACTCCGGCACATAGATTTTGACTTTGTAATGGAAGAGCCCGTCTTCCCATAAATAATGTAAATTGCCATCAAGGTGTGTCTTCTCTTCTGAGGAGAGGTCTTTCCTGAAGATTTCTAGAAGTTCGGAATCCTGCTCAATTTGAACATTGGCCACCCTGGATTGATCTATCAGGGTGACACCTTTGTTGTCATCTTTGATGCCATTAGCATGATCCTCTCTTCTGGATAAAGCATCCGTTTTTCCCATAGAAGCACCAGGCTTATGAATTAATTTATAATTAAACCTAGACAAGTACACCGCATAGCAGGCCTGTCTTCGGTTTAAGTTTCTGGCTGTCATAAAATATTCCAGATTTTTATGATTGGTCCAAATCTCGAATTGGTGTCTAGCACCTTCTAAGTAGTGCTGCCAGTGCTCTAGAGCTCTAATGATTGCCAGCATCTTGTTATTGTAAATTTGATAGTTGCGCTCTGTAGGCGACAAACTATGCAATAAATAGGCACAAGGCCTCCAAAGATTGTCAGGGCATTTGATTGATAGAACAGCCCCAGTAGCAAAGTCAGAAGAGTCGGTTTCTAGCCGGAACTCTTCGTCTAATTCTAGAAATACTAATATGAGCGCTGTTGTAAATGCCTATTTAAGCTTATCAAAAGCTTCTTGTTCTTTGGTGCCCCAGTGCCAAACAATGTCCTTTTTTTTGTGAGATCGTTCAACGGTCTCATTATCTTTGCAAAGTTTTCAACAAACCTTTGGTAGAAGTTGCCTAAGCCAAGGAAGGCCCTAACTCCTTTGATGCAAGTAGGTTCAGGCCAATCCAGTATAGCTTGAACTTTCTCAGGATCTTTTGATGAATAGGTCCCATTCCTGTAAGCGTTAAAGGACTTCTTGCACGGTCCTGTCATGCTCAGCCTCATTGTCCGACTTTGTAAATATTAATAAGTCGTCAATGTAAATGACGACACAGTCCTCCATATCTGCAAAGATCTCATTCATCATGCTCTGGAAGGTTGCCGGTGAATTAGTCAACCCAAAGAACATAACAAGGGGTTCAAAGAATCCTTGGTGGCACATGAACACGGCCTTCCAAGCATCTTGTTCTTTGATTCATACATTATTGTACCCCCATCTGAGGTCCATTTTTGCCAAAATCTTGGCGCCAGCCAATTTGTCTACTAGCTGACTGATCAAAGGCAGCGGATACGCTGTCATGCACCAAAGTTGATTGGTAGCATGGACAGGTGTCAATAATGAAGCGAATATTCAAAAAGACTCGCCTTTGCGCCACACAGGCACAGTGCCACGTGGAATAGTAATTAATATTGCCCTTTTTAAACTTGTGGCTGATCAGCACCACCTCTATTAGGCAATCCAGTCACGCTCACCTTTGCTTTTCCATCCGGTACTTTCCGCGTTTCAGCATTTCGGCAAATTTTCGCGTCGCCACTGGCTACACATTGCATTGCGCCCTCGCTTTTGTCGTTTCCCTTACTCCCCTTCCTTTGCCTAGCCCCATCATGGGCCCCTTCCTCTCCTTTTTATTCTCACCCGACGGTCGTTTCTGGGTCCCCATTTTAGTTCACCTCCTTGTCACCTCCACCCTCCTCCTCCTCATCTTCTTTGCTCCCCCACCATTTCTGATGTCACCACTTCCTATCCGCTTCCGTCGCCGATCCGTTGACTACCACGTGCCACTGCTGATATCAGCAAAGCCCCGGCGGCCGGTCCAAATAGGGCAACAGGTCCATCTTCATGACGTCGATCTGCCATCATATACTATCAAAACATCGGTCGCTCGTCTTGCCTGGTTGGAGCGTGGGTGGGTAATTTTTGAGCTGGAGAAGGTTCATCCCCTTGCGTCGCCCATGTTCATCGCGGTCCCATTCACTTGGGTACACTTATCTTTTGTCCATCGTCTTCGCTACAGCTACACCTACCACACGCTGCCTGGGACTCACTTGTTCCAAATTGGAACTACTCCTCTCCCTCCCTCGTTTGATCAGGTGGTCCAACACAACCAGTCCATTGGTAAGGCCATGGAACTGTCGGATTTGGACTAGGTGGTGGACAGGTGGCTCCAGTTTCTTTTTCTTCAGCAGAACATTCATTTACAGTGCAATTATTTTTGATTTTTGAATCATTTTTATGGACACATATTTTTTTAGAATGCCTGACTGACAATAAAGGAACTGTGTTGATACTGATAGTGTTTTGTTTTGCCCTTTTTATTTTATTACTGCATCTTCCCATGACATCATGATTTTCCTGCTCTCTTTTTGCTATTGGACTTTACTTTATGGCTGTACAAACCTGTGACATTACTCACAGCATTCATTGTTCTATCTCTTTCTTTTCCTTTTTTTGACAATCTTATCCTGTACTACCTACACAGGATTCGTCAGCATACATTCCTTCCTTCATGTTCTTTCTCATTCTTTTTGCACAGCTATACTGTGCATAGCCTACTTTTCTTTTACTATATAAACCCCTGTATTTTACCTTGTAAAAAGAACAAGAAATCCAATCCAGACTTCTTCTCTACTCTCAAGTTCACTACTCTGCTACTTGTGATCCAGTGTGGTCACAACACTTCCCACTTTTACCACTGTCAACTGCTGTCATCGTCACTTCCCACTTTTGAAGTCATTGTCATCCCTTTCAATTAGAGTCCTTCTGAGCACTACAGTTTGTGCGTCAGGAGCCTGCTATCACTGGGAACCTCGTCATATTGTCGTTCTCAAACCTACCTTGTGCTACGATTAGCAAGGTAGTGCTCGTCTATACTCGTCACAAAGCCCCTATCCTTCTATAAATTCAACTATCCCTCCTCCTCAAAACCCACACTCATACACCTCTGGGTTTTACTTTGAAGGATCTTTATACGTACCACCCCACGAACAACCAGACCACTCCACTGTTCTAGGAGGCAAAGCCCATAAACAAGTTCCGTGGAATCTGGGAGGATTGTGTGTTAGTTTGTTTTGTGTGTGGTTTTCTAACTGCAGTTCTCATCATCGACAACGCATTTTTAACCATGTACTCATTCAAGTAACGATAGTCCATAATCATGCACTTCTTACCATCCTTTTTAGGAATGAAGAATACTGGGGACGTCATAGGGCTTTTGGAAGGTCTGATGTAACCCTTCCTAAGCTGTTCATCTATGAAACTTGAGACCTCATCTCTTTCTGGAGCAGAGAGGGGGATCATGTGTCCTTTCCTTGGTTTGAAGTTGGCCTTCAAATCTATAGCATGGTCCCAAGGCTTAGCCTCTGGGAAGCACTCTGATTTATGTTTTGAAAAGACTTTCCAGAAGTCATGATACTCGGGAGGTACCAGCCTCTTAATCTCTTCCTCGAGCTTTACCTTGTCATCGTCATTGTCAATCTTTTCTAAAGACCTAAGCTTGGCATAAACGTGACCAGTGTTTATCCTTTCATTCAGCTCTGTTTGACGGATGTGAGTCGGTTTACCTAAGTCCTCAAACTCCTGAGGACAATGTGACAATGTGACAACCCCTGTCTGCCAGTCAATCTCAGAATTGTGTTTAAATAGCCAGGTCCAGCCTAAGATTAAATTAATCTTCCCTAGTTGGGTAGCTTTGGCGGTGACTCTTTCTCTGTGTCCTTGGTACTCAACAACAAAAGAACATTTGTGCGTAATGCAGCCACCCACGTTAAGCGTACCATCAACATTATAGATGGGAATTGATATATCTAGTTTTAGAAGGGGAGTCCAATTTGCTCTGCCCAGACCTGATCTATGAAGATTCCATTAGCGCCTGAATCAAGCGGTGCACTGGTTGGGTGTATTATGCCCCGGGCAAGGTTTTCCACACCAACATCTAAACAGATCTCCTTTTGGAATACATATGTGTGCATCAAAATATGCCTTGGGATTTCTGTGGAAAGTGGCTCTGAAAAAGAAGAAGAAATATCAAGAGAAACATGTTTTTCTACTTTATGATTTTCTAGATTTTTATTTTTATTTTTACCAGAATCAAGTACCCTAGTGTTTGTCCCGCTAGGGCCACACTCCAAGGAAGACGCTGGTGCAGCGGTAGTATCATAAATATTACATTTACAGTTTTGCATACAAGTACATACTTCTGATAAGTTGAGAAATTTATTTACAAATTGGGGAACCACCCCGTCTTTCCTTTATTGCTTGTGCAACACCCTGGAGCAGGGGCCACTTTGTTGTGGTTTACTTCATTGTTTTGAGGAGCAAAGGCACCTAAGGGGTAACCACTCCCACTCATTATTCTTTGCTTGTCTGAGTTGTGCGCCAGAGTAACTAACTCTTGGTTGTTACAGTTTCTGCAATCTCTGGACATGTGTCCCTCTTGGCCACAGTTGTAACAGTTGCCCTTGAATCTGCGCATCTGTCCACCTTGGACTGTGCCGATATCCATAGGAGCATCCTGTCCTGGCTGCAGCCTGAATGGCTTGAACCTGTGAGAGTGATTATGGTGGTTTGATGACCCAAGGCGCCTCTGGGATTCGTTGTTTTTGGTGGTGGGCCCGCCACCTTGATACATTACATAGAGCTCCAGGGCTCTACTGACTCGGCAAACTTCCTCAGCCGCCAGGGCCAGGTTGTCACTTCGTGTATCCTGCAGATAGATCTGTTTGGCAATGCGGGGGTTCACATTGCGTTCTAGCAGCTCTACTGCATGTTCATTTCCAAGCCCTCATTAGATAGAGAGAGCCAGGAACCGGGTAATGTAATCATCCGTCCTCATATTTCCTTGTTTGAAGGAACAGATCTGCTGATGCGCCCAGTCATGCTCAGCCTGCGGTTTGAAGTATTTTTTGATCTCTACCTTGAGATTGTCCCAGGTAGGCCACACACTCGCCATGTAGCATTCCTGCAGTCTTACTTGGGCATATCAACCCGCCACAGGTCCTTTCAGACATGATAGTGCTGCTGTTGCTATCTCAAAATCATTGGCAAATGTGTCCCAATTTGATCCAAATCTGGAGCTTGATCCACCATTGGGCAAATTGAGCCCTATCTCCTTCAAAAGCGCCGGGGTCAGCAACGATAGTGACTTTCTTGTTGAACTTTCGCTCCACCATAGGTTTTGCTGCTGGGGCAGCCTGAATGTCGGTTAGCTGATTTGTCAATGCCTGAATCTGTGCACGCATGTTGTGCAGCAGACTGTTCATATCGGGTTGCAACGACATGTTGACTTGTTCTCTTTGTAATGTAAAAAAAGGTAACTGGGGTTCCCCACTGGCTATTTGCGGATCTACCTCTTCCCAGCTGAGTATCGGATCTCAATCTCCGACTACCCACACTATAGTATTTGAAAAGTATATAAAAAGGTAAACATAATGAACCCTGGTCCGAATGGTTGTCAGGGGGTGGTCTACTTGTTAAGCTGTCAACTCTTCTCCAGACTGGCAGAGGCAAGTGCCCGGTGTCATGCACCAAAGTTGATTGGTAGCATGGACAGGTATCAATAACGGAGCGAATATTCAAAAAGACTCGCCTTTGCGCCACACAGGCACAGTGCCACATGGAATAGTAATTAATATTGCCTTTTTTGAACTTGTGGCTGATCAGCACCACCTCTATTAGGCAATCCAGTCACGCTCACCTTTGCTTTTCTATTCAGTACTTTCGGCATTTCGGCATTTCGGCAAATTTTTTGCGTCGCCACTGGCTACACATTGCATTGCGCCCTCGCTTTTGTCATTTCCTTCACTTCCCTTCCTTTGCCTAGCCCCACCATGGGTCCCTTACTCTTGTTTTTATTCTCACCCAACGGTCGTTTCTGGATCCCCATTTTAGTTCACCTCCTCGTCACCTCCAGCCTCCTCCTCCTCATCTTCTTTGCTCCCCCATCATTTCTGATGTCACCACTTCCTATCTGCTTCCGTCGCTGATCTGTTGACTACCACATGCCACTGCTGATACTAGCAAAGCCCCGGCGGCCGGTTCAAATAGGGCAACAGGTCCATCTTCATGACATTGATCTACCATCATATACTATCAAAACATCGGTCGCTCGTCTTGCCTGGTTGGAGCGGGGGTGGGTAATTTTTGAGCTGGAGAAGGTTTATCCCCTTGCATCGCCCATGTTCATTGCTGTCCCATTCACTTGGGTACACTTATCTTTTGTCCATCGTCTTCGCTACAGCTACACCTACCACACGCTGCCTGGGACTCACTTGTTCCAAATTGGGACTACTCCTCTCCCTCCCTCGTTTGACCAGGTGGTCCAACACAACCAGTCCATCGGTAAGGCCATGGAACTGTTGGATTTGGACTAGGTGGTGGACCGGTGGCTCCAGTTTCTTTTTTTTCAGCAGAACATTCATTTACAGTGCAATTATTTTTGATTTTTGAATCATTTTTATGGACACATATTTTTTTAGAATGCCTGACTGACAATAAAGGAACTGTGTTGATACTGATAGTGTTTTGTTTTGCCCTTTTTATTTTATTACTGCATCTTCCCATGACATCATGATTTTCCTGCTCTCTTTTTGCTATTGGACTTTACTTTATGGCTGTACAAACCTGTGACATTACTCACAGCATTCATTGTTCTATTCCTTTCTTTTCCTTTTTTTGACAATCTTATCCTGTAATACCTATGCAGGATTTGGCAGCATACATTCCTTCCTTCATGTTCTTTCTCATTTTTTTTGCACAGCTATACTGTGCATAGCCTACTTTTCTTTTACTATATAAACCCCTGTATTTTACCTTGTAAAAGAACAAGAACTCAAATCCAGACTTCTTCTCTAATCTCACTACTCACTACTACTTGTGATCCAGTGTGGGCACAACACTTCCCACTGCTACTACTGTTAACTGCTGTCATCGTCACTCGTCACTTTTTGAAAGTGATTGTCATCCCTTTCGATTAGAGTCCTTCTGAGCACTACAGTTTGTGCGTCAGGAGCCTGCTATCACTGGGAACTTTGTCATCTCATCACATTGTCATTCTCAAACCTACCTTGTGCTACAATTAGCAAGGTAGTGCTCGTCTATACTCGCCACAAAGCCCCTATCTTTCTACATTCCAACTATCCCTCCTCCTCAAAACCCACACCCATACATCTTTGGGTTTTACTTTGAAGGATTGTTATATGTACCACCCCACAAACAACCAGACCACTCCACTGTTCTAGGAGGCAAAGCCCATAAACAAGTTCCGTGGAATCTGGGAGGATTGTGTGTTAGTTTGTTTTTTGTGTGTGGTTTTTTCTAACAACAGTTCTCATCATCGACACTGGCCTGGTCAGAGGAAAGAGAAAGAGAAGATTTGTATGTAACTTCTAATCGACAGTGGTTCCACACCAACTGCTGAGCTAAGTACCCCCCTTAACACTGGGGACTGTGTATAGATAATTGTCTCTTCTCCCAGAGCACTACGGGGCCGTCGCTATGAGCGCACCCTTCTGCTATATGGGATATTCCCATATAATAACCCCTTAACCCTGGGGACCAGGTTTGCACAAAGTGCGAGAGAGTAGTAAGAGCGAGTCCTAATGTAACAACCAAGAGTTTGTATAGCGCACAACTCAGACAAGGCTGTAAAGGTAGTGAGGGGAGTGGTTACCCTGAGGACAGGACCAAGTTAGTTGTGGGTAAACAACAGGAGGACTTGCTAAGGAGTCTCCTTGATCTATTGGGGTATATATACTACTACAGTTTGTTTGTATATGTGTACTGTACAGTTGATGTTGATGGAGGCAGTGGCTGATGATGTCATGGGGCACAGCCCATGTGACCAGCTTCAGTGCGTGAGATATATGTATCTAAAGATAGAAAAGGCAGTGCAGCGCGAGAAGTGGAGTTTTGAAATGGAAAGTGCCGCATGGCACAGGGTGTGAAAACTACAAAAGAAAGTTGAAGAGGAGAATGAAATTTAAAGGTCCGAAAATTGTGTTATTGTAACGCTCGCAACCTCAATGCCCTCCCACCTACTCTGCAGCCAACTCACTCTACCTTCTCAGGGGGTTCACATCTCCCGCCTCAGGATCTGAACCTGCCCAAGTCTTGGTCCCACCCCAGCCTGCTATAGCACCTCCACTGCAAGTTGGTGCAGGCTTTACAAAGCTTGTGTAAGGACCATTTATATTTTCTTATTTTCTTATCTTTTTTGTTCCACGTCTTGGCTCTCAGACGCTTTCCCTGTTACACCTCTGGCTCTAGGGCTAGAGGTATCCTTTGCTATCTTGCTTCTCATAGCCCTAATAGGCTTTCTTAACCATCGCTACCACTTCATATTGCAGATCAGAGACTGGGCAGTACTCCCAGCCAGCTAGCACAATGGGTAAGGACTAGTGGCTGAGATCTCGCCAACCAGTACGCTTCACTCCTCAACAGAAACCATTGAGTTTATTCCAAGTCCTCTACCTGCTATAATCTCTAGCATCTGTCAACCTCAAACTCCTTGTACTTCTTACTCCCTGCAAGTGCAGTTGGAGATGTGTATCGTTTTTGTTATAGTTTATATGTTGCCTCACAGCTTGATAAGAAGGGGATGGATATTGCAAAGACCAAGATTTCAAAGATGGCATTCAACTATAAGGGGATGTCTTCATGGGATTTCCGTGCAATTATTGTGACTAACTGTCTCGATGTGGCCACGCACACATGCTCAATGCAAGGGCTATATTTGTGGAATTTCACAAGGAGGAGAACCATCCTCAATCATCTGGCCCTCTTATGCAATGGGGTGAAAATGCTGACCAAAGGAGCTTCAAAAATCAGTTTTCAACTGCATATCAACATCTGGTCTGATAACTCAGAATCAGAGCATTGCGCTCAGGTTTTGAGTTACTTACTTAAAGTACCCAATTGTTTATTTATGAATTGTGTTGTACAGGTACATCTCTATTCATTCGATCATTTTATATTGTACTTACTGATATTGATATTTGCAAGGATACAAATGGTCAGGCGGTAACATTATATTTTGAATCCAAGTTTTTTTTATTGGTAGTCCTCCATTTTGTATGGCGTGGAGGGTATGCTCATCTCCTCGAGTCTGTGGCTTCTCTCAAATTTATATTTGGTATTGTTGGTGTGTTGTTTGCTTGTTGTTTACAGGAATCCGTGAATAGAGTGATCCATCAGGAGGACTTCACCATGTCAAAATTGGTGATACTTATGAGTATATTTTATACATCATTGACATTGTTATCATGAACAATCCGTCTTTGCGTGCGCACTTTGAAGCACTTTTGAATTGTATTGTTGCACGTTATCATGCACCAAAATTAATTGGTAGCATGGACAGGTGTTGTTACGATAACACAATTTTTGGACCTTTCCTTCATTTTTATTCTCCGCTTTAACCTTGTATACTTTAGCTTTCACACATGGTGCCACGCGGCACTTCCCCTTTTGTTCAAACTCCTCTTTCTCGCACCGCGTTGCCTTCTTCTTATTTTAGATACAACTCTCTCACACAGTGGAGCTGGTCATGTGGGCTAGGCCCCATGACATCATCAGCCACTGACTTTATCAACTGTACAGTACATAAGTACAAACACTCTGTATTAGTATATATACCCCAATAGATCCAGGAGACTCCTTAGCGAGTCCTCCTGTTGTATACCAACAAACTCTCTGCAGCTTAAGGGGTAACCACTCCCCATTCACTACCTTTATAGTGTGTTCTTGTGTGCACCAGAGTAACTAACTCTGTGTTACGATAACACAATTTTCGGACCTTTCCAGTATTTTCATTCTCCGCTTTAACCTTATACTTTAGCTTTCACACATGGTGCCACGCGGCACTTCCCCTTTTGTCCAAACTCCTCTTTCTCGCACCGCGTTGCCTTTCTTCTTATTTTAGACACAACTCTTTCACACAGTGGAGCTGGCCATGTGGGCTAAACCCCATGACATCATCAGCCACTGTCTCTATTAATTGTATAGTATACATGTACAAACAAACCTGTAGGAGTATATATACCCCAATAAATCCAGGAGACTCCTCAGCGAGTCCTCCTGTTGTAAACCAACAAACTCTCTGCAGCTCAAGGGGTAACTACTCCCTCATCATCTTTCTTATAGTGTGTTCTGTGTGCGCCAGAGTAACTAACTCTTGGTTGTTACACTCTGGGTTGTTACAGGTGTCAATAATGAAGTAAATATTCAAAAGACTCACCTTTGTGCCACACAAGCACAGTGCCACATAGAATAGTAATCAATATTG